ATTTGAGCCGGTATAAACACTGGACGAATGTACCAAGGTTAAGTAACATGACCTTAGTAACTGTTTACCTTGGTAAAAGCTCAGATGTAAACACAGCATGTTTTCATTGGGTTGTTGTCTAAGAGCCCCTGTTTTCAATGAGTAAACAGTCAGTAAACAAAAAGAAGTTGCTTTAGATTAGGGTTGACCCTTACTCAGCCTAAGGACAAGTACATGTCTGCTCTCTTCACATCGAAATTTTTACTTAAATTTATTTTCGAGGAGAAAATTCTCAGGAAGGCACTACTTCTCAAAATTTTTCATCTCTAATTCAGTATGAATGGATTTAACTTTAGTGTGGGACCCTTTCAATTCATGGTTTAATAACGTTTGCCGTTCAACGAGAGCTGCAAGACAACACTGAGTTACTTCAAAGTATTTAACTTTCGGCGTTACGTGAAACTATCTAATTGCGAAGGCACTCGAGCGCAACGAACACTTCTATGAACCCTGTTCAAATAGGTTTAGTTAAGAGGCAGTCTCTGTAAGAGCGGACTGTTCGATCTCGCTTGAAAAATAGATTTCGTTCATTGCTTGTGTTACGAGACATTCATATGCTTGTACTAAAACCACAATCCAATTGATCAGATCTTTTAAATTTTTCGTGTTTTAGGGAATTCAGTTTCGGTTCACCCGAGTGGATCAGCTTGTGGCGGCCATTGTCAACACCTACAGATTTAACACATCTTTGAAAATAAACTAAACAAGAACAAAAAATCTCTGCACAAAAGAAAACACCACTCCTACTTAAAATATGTCTTTATAATGTGCCAAACTGATTTGTATAAACAATGAGCTCGAACCAAGCATTCAAGGAGGCTTTAGTTAACGACACCCATATCGTACAGCTCGATGAGACACCCAAAAATGGATCACAAATTCAATAATGTAATGTTGAAAAAGTGGGGCATCCTATTTCCATCAAACCAACACAGCCTAAAAGTAGATACACTAGAAAATGTCACTACAGCAAGAAACCTTGCGGTATCTCCTTGATGAAATATTTATGGCCTTGTGAACTTGCTGAATTTCGATGATCTTCACGTTTTTCCTCCATTTTGAAAGATTKGTCGTCATGAAGCATTGCCTTATCTTGTCTCAGAGAGATATCTAAAATGATCAACAACAAACAGCGAAATCATTCGACATGCATTACATTTCAAATAAAGGAAACAAAGTCAGTTTTGAGTGCATGAGTTTAACTCACAAGTAGCTTTCGCCGCTTTCGATTGCTTGATGAGTGCTCGAACTTCGCTCGATAATTCCACATGAACCAGCCACCACTGGCACCCAAACTACGGCTCGGATTTAGCGTATAGATCTGCTTAAGGTGGTGAGACCGTTTTTTCCCCTTCTTTCCCCAGGAACAGCGATGTTTTTTCACGACAAAGCGGCACACATCGACCGATATAAAGAACCAACCGCCACGTTTACCCCGATGGTGAGCCGCTGACCACACTCGAGGGGAACTTGCTTTAGCTGAGCATTATTTATGACGGATCTTATATCAGTTATCGGAGATTAGATGGTAAAATATTTGGTGCTTCTTGCGGTGTAAACGGTGTACAGGCACTTCACCGTCCATATGATATGACATCTGTATTTCCACCAAAGTGCACTGAGCTAAAGGTCGATGAGGGGAATTTTGTCTCTATTCTATGGAAGAAGCGTGATTCCTCAAGTAGCAGCAGTGATACCGAAAACAGAGAAAAGGTTCCAGTGTTTGAATACCTACACCCAGTGCTAGGACTTTAAAATCAGTTGCAGATGTGAAAAAATTGAAGATGTGAAAAAATAAGAAGGAATTGCACATGTTTGTTGGCCAGCATTCAGAGAGTAATTTACGACAACCTTATAGGTATGGGTTGAGAAATTCTCATCACTCACCCTTATGGAAGAAAATGGTACCATTAGCACTGAGGGAGTGCCCAGCCCGTTAGTCTTCTACCCATTGAGCTATGTGGTGGGCCATCCAGAAGCCGAAAGGAAGAGCAGGTCGATACTCAGACGACGTATGGCAATATCTGATATCCAAGTTTGA